GTTTCACATCGATTATATAGTGTAATTAGTTGTAATTTCTCTATATATAATAAAAGATCATACAAGGTTGCCCTTATATGTTCATCAAAGAATGAAAATGATGTAATGTTATAGCATTATCGCCTACGACACCCAAATTTTATATATTTGAAAAAGATGTTTCCATCATTATTTAATAAAGATTCTGGTTTTTTCAAAGGTGAAGTGTGCGAACTAGCCAAACACATTTGTACAAGCTTATAAGCCATCTAAACCTTTCACCCTTATTCATAGTGACGTGTGGGGACCTTTATGAGTCAACAATATTACTGGGTCAAGGTGGTTTGTCACCTTTTTATGACCATACAAGAGTTATTTGGGTGTTTCTCATGAAATAAAAGTCAGAGGTAGGGAGTATATTTGAGAACTTTCATAAAATGGTTCAAACCCAATTTCAAAGCAACATTCAAATCCTAAGGATTGATAATGGGGGGAGTACTTCCATCATACCCTTAGTACATACCTTGCAAAAAATTGGACTATACACCAAACTTCGTGTCCATATTCACCCCAACAAAATGGAACAGCATAGAGGAAAAATAGACACCTATTGGAAGTCACTCGAGCCCCCGTGTTGTCCATGAATGTACCTAGCCATTTTTGGGGAGACACGGTTCTTTATTCATCGTACCTAATAAATAGAATGCCCTCCAAAACACTCAACCTAAACACACCTCACCAAACCCTCTTGTCCTTTTATCCTTCGACCAAACTCATCACAAATCTCCCACCAAAGATTTTTGGATGTGCGGCATTTGTACATGATCAAAAGCCAAATCCCAACAAGCTGGACCCAAAATCCATCAAATGTATATTCTTGGGACACTTTCCTACCAAGAAATGATATAAATGTTATTGTCCTCAGAAAAGATGAATTTATCACACTATAGATGTCACATTTTATGAAGAGAATCCCTTTTATTCCAAGGCTGCCATTTAGGGGGAGAAAATGACAATTGATGAACACCAACCTTGGGAAATTACTATACCAAAATATGTCCCAGAATCTGTCCCGCAATCTGTCCCAGAAACCGTTCCAGAATCTGTCTCAGAATCTGTCCTGCAATCTGTCCCAAAAATCGTTCTAGAAAATGTACCAAAATCTGTCCAACAAGAATCTGTCCCAAAATCTAACCCACTGGAACCTGAATTGGAACAGCAAGCAACCACTCTTGAGGTTACCAAGACAAAAAATGGAAGAAAATAACTACATGTATACACAAGGAAGAAAAACAAGCTTCAAACTCTTAAGGCAGTAGAAACATGCACTCTTCCAAAGCAAAACCAAGGCTCTGCCCAAAATTCAGACTCTAAACCTACTCACAAAGGTAAATTACCATGCATTGAATCATCTTCTAATTTATTGGATAATGATACTTATGACCAAAGCTTAAACTTACCTATTTCCCTAAGAAAGGGAGTGGGGTCTCGTACTAAACACCCAATTGGGAACCATGTTTCTAGTGAAAAATTATCGCAGGAGTACAAGAATTTCATCAACTCAGTGGACAACACCCATATTCCTCAAAATTTTCATGAATCTATCCTAGTTCCAGAGTGGAAGGTTGCGATTAAGGGAGAAATCAAGGCACTAGAGAAGAATGGTACATGGCATCTCTGTCACCTTCCAGATGGAAGAAGCCAGTTGGATGCAGATGGATATTATCGGTGAAATATAATGTAGACGGGAGTGTGAACAGGTATAAATCTCAATTGGTGACAAAAGGATTCACTCAGTCTTATGGGGTGGACTATGAAGAGACCTTTGCACCTGTAGAAAAATTAAACTCAGTCCGTGTTCTCCTTTCCTTAGCAATAAATTTGGATTGGCCACTTCATCAGCTAGATATAAAAAATATTTTCCTAAATAGTGAACTTGAAGAAGATGTTTACATGAGAATACCACCTGGACTTGAGACGTTGGAAAATTCAGGCAAGGTATGTAAGCTCAAAAGATCACTATACGGGCTCAAACAATCCCCATAGGCTTGGTTTGATAGGCTTACACGAGTGGTTAGGATGCATGGTTTCTCTCAATGCCAAACAGACCACACAATGTTCTTAAAGCATTCAAAGGAAGGAAAGGTAATCATCTTCATTGTTTACGTATACGACATTATAATTACAGGTGATGACTATACTGGAATTGAGGGGTTAAAATTGTTACTATCTAAGGAATTTGAAGTCAAAGACCTTGGTCAGTTACTGTATTTTCTTGTAATGGAAGTGGCACGATCAAAATTTAGAATTTATTTGTTTCAAAGGAAATATACTCTTGAGTTACTTCAAGAAACGGGGATGTTAGGATGCCGGCCAACAGACACTCCTATGGAATCTAATGTGAAAATAGGAGAGGAAAAAGAGAGTTCGCCAACTGGTAAAGAGATGTATCAAAGATTGGTTGGGAGACTTATCTACCTAACCCATACACGGCCAGATATTATTTTTTCTGTCAGCATGGTTAGCCGCTACATGAACGATCCCAAAGAGACTCACATAAAAGCAGTTAATTGTATTCTACAGTATCTCAAAAAGGCACCATGGAAGGGGCTAAATTTCGAAAAGGACACAAGCAGGAAAATAGAAATGTCCACATATGCAGATTGGGCTGGCTCAGTAACTGATAGAAGATCAACCAGTGGGTATTGCTCATTTGTATGGGGAAACTTAGTGACATGGAGAAGCAAAAACAATATGTGGGTGCAAGAAGCAGTGTTGAAGCAGAATTTAGGTCAATGACTCATGGGATTTGCGAAGGGATGTGGCTCCAAAGGATGCTTGTGGAACTACAAGTTCATACTTACCATGAAGTAAGTATATTGTGTGACAACAAAGCTACCATAAGCATTGCTAAAAATTATGTGCAACACAACAAGACAGCGTGTAGAAATTGATATACATTTCATCTAGAAGAAGATTGACAATGTATTAATTTCTCTTCAACACACACCCTCAAGTCATCAAACAATTGATATCTTGACCAAGGCACTTCCTAGAGCCAACTATGAAAACTTAAGATTCAAGTTGGGCATAATAGACATCTATGACCCAACTTGAGGGGGAGCGTTGGTTGTTGATCTACAGTCTTTAAGGCACATCTATGCAACCATTAATAAGGGACAGCAATACAGATTTTATAGTTGTATTATATGAATACATTTATACTTATTTACATAGCCATATAGAATATTTCCCTTCTTGTAAATAGGAATTAATTTGAGTTAATTAGGATTTAATTAGCTTCTATAGTTACTTGTACTCCCTAGGCTATTTATATATCTTATTCTATTATGTACAAACTCAATAAGAAATACACAATTTCTACATATCGTAGCATCCCAAAGATACGATTATGTCAGTCTTGGTAATTATGCTTTGAATGTGGCTGAAAAATTGTAAAATTCAGAAAGAAGGACCTTCAGGGGGCATTTTGAAAGTAGGTGGAGTCAACGATGGTTGAAAAATCATATTTGTGGGCTTGTTAAATTACCTGGACAGAAAAGGGTAATTGGAAACAAGTGGGTGCAAGTGGCGAGATCAAGATTCAAGGGTGACTTGAATTTGATCAAGATTATTGATTAGAGTTTCAACATGGTAGAGAGTAGCAACGTTGTTGATGGCTAAATTGGCATCAACACAGTTTCAAGTCAAGGGGGAGATTGTTGTAGTGTACCTTAAAACCTTTGTTGATGAAGAGAAAGAAAATATATTTTGGAGATTGCATATACCGCGAAAATCGAAAGTTTCAGAAAGTCGGACGAAAAGTCAAAAATCAGAAATCCGAGAAGAAAAAAAGTGGACGGTGAATAGTGATTTCTTTACGGTGAATAATGATTTCTGTACGGTAAATAGTAACGCTCGTACTGTGAATAGTGATGTACGTACGATGAATATTGATGTCCATACAGTCGGTCGGTCGATGGTTTCGAGTTTTTTGGACTTTTTGACAGTTTCTCATTTTGAGTGCTTTGGGCTCTTCGGTCCATGAATCCATGTGTGATTGGGTTGTTTTTTTTTGGCTTTGTTGGATATTTACTATTATAAATATGTATCTCTCATATACTTGTAGGGGTGACAATCTTAGAGTTTACAACAATAAGGGAGAGCAAGGACTTAGGAAAGCAAGAGTTTTGAAAAATCTTTGGAGTTATCTAAGGGAATTAGGAAACACTTGTTTACACATTGGGTTTGAGTGATTCATATATTGAGAGTTAGAGAGGCTGGGAAACACTTAGGTAAAAAATAGGATTTTTCTTAGAGGCCTTCAGGGTTGCTTTTGAAAATCTGAAAGCGAATATTATTTTCTTGTAACTCATTTGTAATTTCTTGTAACAACTTTCTGAGTATAGTGAATTGGAGAGCGGCTCTCTCCCTCAGAGTAGATCGTTTGATCAAACTGGATAAACAAATATTCATCTTTCTCGCCTTATTCTGTTATATTATCTGGGTATTGATTATTATTGTTGTAGGTCATTTATTTTAGTTGCTAGTGTTCTTTGCCTCTCAAATTGATATTAAACATTGTTGTTATTTAGAATAACTTCAAATCTATAATCATTCCATCTCAAACCTGTGGTCAATAAAACAATCATCCAAAATATATTTTAGAAATACCCCCAACAAAGTATGCAGGTTAGGTTCTGTGCATGTGACATTACTATTTATCCATATTGCAAATGGGGATATTTCAAAAAATATAACGAACTAGTTACATTACACTTACAAAATAACAAATGCAGTTGCAGTATTTGCTACAGAGCTTAGTTACCACTGGAAATTTGTATTCTGATACTTCTTAATTATGTTGTGCAATGCCATGCATTTTCCATTTTTACCAATTGTTTCTGCTTTTCTAAGAGATACGCTCCAATCGAATTGGTATCAATCATGAAAGAACCATACGGCGTTGCTGCTGCACAAGTTCTGCCACAGAAACTCCCACGCCGACCAATCTTTCTTTTTCAACCGAGGGCAAGGTCTTGATAGTAAAACACACTTATCTGTAAGCGAGCCAATAAAAAGGGAAAATATTAAAAAGGAATTCTCCAAAACAAAATAACAAGCAAACACAAAAAGAAATACACTGGAGCAAAAGAAACTATCTGTAAGCGAGCCAATAAAAGAGCCATACGCTGTTGGTGATGCTGCACATCTTCTGCCTTAGAAACTTTCCCAACGGAGGGAGACGTCTTGCTACATGAAAAATTGTATGTCCCTCAATTTTGTGCTCAAACCAATCTGGAATGTCCTCTGTTTCGGTTGGCAAACAAATCTCAGTGCATCCAGCCCCAGGTAGTTTCTGTTAGTTTAGCATAAGATATATCACACTATGGATTATGAAACACTATTTCAAAGAAAAAATAACAAACCTGACTCAATAACATTCTTCTACACGAGAAAGTTAATGATTCACATCGGATGGCAGAAAACTTTTCTAGATTCGGTGGGATCCCTCTAATTTCCTCAAGAGACTTGCAGCCATCCAATTCAAGGATTCTAATAAGGTGGCATTCATCAAGGCACTTGGGAAGAATTTTGAAATTGTTATTCCATAAGTATAGATATTTCACATTAGCAAACCGTGTGAGAACTATTGTAAGGCATTCCTCTGAGAGGTTATTCTTTCCGAGATTAAGATATTCCACTTTTGAAGATACTGTGGAACACAATGTATCATTATCTTTTGGAAATAATATAGGAAAATCCACATTAATCTTCAACAACTTTGGCTTCATACAAATGTTAGTTGAAAACCTGAGCATTTGACATCCCTGAATTTTTAACTCACCAAGTTCACTGAGATTTTGAAATGAAAATGGCAATTCTCCTATGGAAGTTTCAAACAGCCAAATCTCTTTTATATTTGTCATCCTGCCTAATAATTCTGGAAAACTCTTGAGACTTCTACACTTGAGAGTTCCAATTCCTTAAGAGAGATCAAATGTAAGGGTGGAAAACTCTCGAGCTTATTGCAACCTTTTGCATTTAAGGTTTCAAGTTTATTAAGAAACCCAATCGAACTGTGAATCATAATTAAATTATTACAATTTTCAAACGAGAACTTTTCTAAATTAGGAAAACTTGAGATATTAGGTATATCGGTTAGATACTGACAATCATTAAATGTCAAAACATTCATATACTCGAACATCTGCATAAACAAAGAGAAAAAAAACAAACAAATAAATAAAAATAAGATGCTATAATCTCATAGTGAATTTAAAAATATACACATCAAGTAAATGAACTAATTTCACTTGCCTTGTTCAATAGCATAGATGATAGAGACTCCAAATGATAGCTATTCCATTTCAATACTCTCAAACTACTTGGAAGATATCTTGCACCTTTAGAAAAATGACCATTTTCAATGATGAGTGTTTTGAGCTTTATCATCTTTTCGAATGCCTCTCCATTCCAATCTATTATTCTTTCCGTTGAGGGAAAATTCAAATGTATCATTTCAATTTTCCTAGTTCCCTTTTACCACAAAAATTCACAAATCAATTACATGTAATCAAGAGCAAAAGATCTTGTATAAGGTAATCATACAAGTCAAAAAGAGCAAAATCGTGATATATGTACCGTATTTTCTTTTAAAACATGAACTATATCGTCATGAAACCACAACCTACTGCGTTTTTCAGGCTCTTTGGGTGATTCTTGTCGGACAATTTCTTTACCCATATTCTCTATCAAGTCATGTAATGTCACATAACCATAAACATTTATCTTTATGAGAGACTTATCAACCAACACCCCTGCGTGGCTTTTTATGCAATGACCATAATGTGCATGAAGTATCTCTTGAACTTGTGTATATTCACACCCTTTGAAGCAACATGCAATATCCAAAAAGACACTTTGTTGTATAAGTGCATGGTTTAAAATATTATCGTAACTTGAATCAGTTGTTACATTTAAAAGCCATCCACCTAAACAACTCAAGAGCTTCTTTCTCATTTAAGCCATCTACTTCATATGTTCTTTTAATCTCGTGACATGATAACAAATATTTCTCTCGAGTGGTAATGATGACTCTGCTCCCAAGACCGAGCCACCCAAGGTCCCCAACTGCTTTAGTTGGTCAACATCATCGAGAATCAACAAAACTTTCTTTTGATGTAGCCTTTGTTTTATGATTGCAATTCCTTCGCTAACATGTCCTAACTGAATTTTCAATCCGATTGTTTTGGAGAGAGCTGCTCTTGGAGATATTCTAAGCCATATTTAACTGAATTTTCTCTCACGTTGTGAAGGAAACACGAACCTTCAAATTGATCAGCAACCATATTATAAACTGCTCGAGTAAGTGTTGTTTTACCCAATCCTCCACTTCCATATATCCCAATCAGACAGACTCCCTTATCAGAGTCAACATCCAGAAGCGACTTTACTTGCTGTAGTTGAGATTTGAGCCCAACGGGGTGATCGGCAACATGTAAAAGAACACGATTGATCATGCTGGAAATCTCTGTAACTATCTTATTGATAAATATGTATTCATATTCTTCTTTCCTGCACCCAATCAAAGGAGTTTTTAAGTAAATGCATCAAAATGCAGTCACATATGTAATGATGTTATTTTAATTCAAATTGTTTCAACACACAATTCAGTAACTTTTTAAACATGAATAAGAAATATAAAACTTATTCATCCTTTTTAACATTTTAGGATGAAATGATTTTTCAATTGTAAACTAAAGAACAACGATAAATACGTGTGCATAACAGTGGGAACCTGAAATTGTAATGGTAGCCAGACAAGTCAGCTGCGTAGGTAAGAGCCATCTTCCATTTTTGCAACCGCTCCATCTTTTCCTTGTTATTTTGGAACCTTTTCTCATAATCAGCAAGTGCTTCACCATACCTGTTGTTCTGCTGTCGTACTTGAGAAGGTTCCGTGTCATAGAAAACTGGCAGAACAAGGCGACTCTTTTCCTTAAAGTAGTTAATGATGTGGACAAGTTCGTCCAAGCAAAATGAAGAAGCAGCGTAGTTTGAAGAGAAGACAATAATGGCAATCCTCGAGTCTTCAATGTTCTTGAGGAGCGAAGGTGTGATTTTGTCACCTCTCTGAAGCTCCTTGTCATCAATAAAGGTTCGAATTCCATTGTCAGAAAGAGCTTTATAGAGATTACCGGTGAAGCCGGAGCCCCTGAAACTGATGAACACGTCATACTTGAACTCGTGAGAGAAGGAGGAACAGGAATTTGATTGCATTGTATTATTATCAGGATCAGGATCTGTAAGCAAAGCAATATAAACTGATTTAAAAATTTAATATTGGTTGTGGAACTTCCTTCCCATTTTCCTATATACGTGTGGACCAATTCACACAATTACTGTAAATAAGTATAAATGAGGTTGTTTTGTGGACTCCAAAATAAAACAAGAATATCAAATTTATGAAGCAGAATATAATGAAAATTAATGAAGTATGATATTGTTTTCATTGTTTATTTTACAGATATAAATGTTGGAAAAGGAAAGGTTGACTTGAAGGCAGCATCAGAATGAAGATGTAGTTTCATGTGGCTTTCCTTTCAGTTTTTTTATATCCATGTTGAAACACCTCATCCTCCTTCTATGTGACTACCTGGAAATATCTTGACAGAGATTACAAACTGAAGCACTTGTAAATGTCACAAAAATGCTTCTTAATTATTTTATACAGTGCCGTACAATTTCCACATTTAGTATATAATGTAAACCACAGAAAAGAACAACTTTTGCATACCTATCGATTGTATACATGCTCCTTAGTATATAATTTAAACTAAACAGAAAAGCAATAAAAAAAATATGAACTCGCCCAAAATACTGCATAAAGCACAAGGAAATTGTGCTTGTGCAGCAATCCCTCTCCTATTATTCATTGTAAATTTTCTTTTATAACTACGACTTTAACATCATTGATCCATGTACGAAAGATGGTAATTGATAAGCAATGATTACTAGTATAAAAAGTTAATATCATAAATGGCCTAATCATTCAACTATGAACTTTCAGGCCGAGCATTGCGATGATCCATCCATATTTCATTCATTTGTTGCAATCTGGGGCAGGAGTTATGCATTGCCTTCAAGAATCATTTATTCACGGCCCATTAATACATGGAAATTATGTATTCAAAATCTGAGAGTTGTTGCAAATGAAGAGGTTACAGTTTTAATTGTTTCCACAAGAGATTCAGCCAACTATTTCCAGGTTGAGCCTTTTTTCTAAGGCCTACAATAAATTGAAAAGAGAAAAAAAGTAAAATACAAGGGTCAGTATGAATAGCTTCTATCGACGAAGACAAAGAATAAACTTGGGATCTATAATTGACTGAATTCTGAAGATATAACAGACAGGAAATATTAATAGCCAAAATAACATTACCTCCCAAGTAAACTTTGAGAACTGTAAGCAAGGTGCCTCCAACCTCATCCAACATCATTGAACAGAGATTGTAATGGACCATCTTTCAGTATCAAAATATGTATCAACTTACTTTCTAAAAAGTAATATATACATGAATGGTACATTTTTGCTATGATATTAATATGATTTTCTCTTTCTATAAGGATTGGTGAATTCGATATCTTCTAAGTTGTTTTCCTCTTTGAACACGTGGATTCCAAATTTTGTATGGAGCGATTTCCTCATCTCATCGTTATCATCTGCTAACTTCGAATAGCTCTCTAACTTAAGCTCCATATGGATCCATTCATTTTTTAAAAGTGCTTCTTTTAGTTTAGATTCAAGTTTTTCATAGTTTTCCGAGCGGTGAACTAGTTCTTCCAAATCAATATATATTAGATATATATGATTCGTTTCTAACAAGGAAACCTCAGTAAATTCCTTAAGAGAAAAAGTATATTTATAGCCGCCATTGACGAACAAATTTACTCTTAACTGAAGCTTTTCATTGTGGTCATACATCCATTTAGTAGAAAAGAAGAGAGCTATGGAAGGGATCTTGTTACGAAACCAGAAAGAAATTCTCGTTGGTCCAATGCTTCGGTGCTCAAACCACTCCGGAATCCTCTCACTTCCTAGTGGAAAACAAAAATGGGTAGTTCTACCCTCATGTAGTTCCTGTTATAAATTAGCATATCATGAATAACACTAGAAACAATGAAATATTAAATCAAATATTTATGCAAGGAAAAACAAAAATACCTGATTCCCTAGCATACTTCTTCTACTAGAGGAATTCAGTGATTTGCAGTCTAATGCAGACAGAATAACAAGATTTAGCCCAATCCCTTTTATTTCATCAAGAGACTTGCAACTAAACAATCCAAGTTCATGTAGAGGACAATGTTCTTTGAGGCATTCCGGAAGAATTTTGAAATTGACTCCAACTCGGTTTAATTCTTCCACATTAGAAAACCAAGTGAGAACTATTGGAAGGTATTCATCTGAGACTGAGAGGTTGCTTTCATAGAGATAAAGCCATTTCACATTTGAAGACATTGTGGAAAACTGTCTTGGCATTATGAAATGATATTGGTGAACCCAAATACTTGAGAATTTTGGCATCTTTGAAATGAAACTTGGTAACCTAAACACCCCATGTCCCTTTATAGATATCGAAATAAGTCCGGTGAGATTTTGAAATGAAACGGGAAAGTCCTCTATGGAAGTTTCCCGAATATCAATATCTTCTATATTTTCAATCTTGCCTAATATTTCTGGAAAACTTTGTAGACTCTTACAATGTGAAAGTTTCAGTTTTTTAAGAGAAGCCAACATCAATGGTGGAAAACTTTTGAGCTTAATGCAACCACTGACATTCAAGAACTCAAGTTTATTCAGCAATCCTATCGAACTGTGAATTGTAATTAAATTCTCACAATTTTCAAATGAAAAACTCTCTAAATTTGGAAGACAAGAGACATCTGATATTTGTGTTAAATATTCACAATTGTCAAATTTCAAAACCTTTATATTCACAAACATCTGCAAATACAAAAAAGAAATAAGAAAGAAATAAAATTAAATGAATAATCTCAAAGTGAATTTCTAAATTATAAGTTTATTTATTTCACTTACCTTGTTGAAAAAACAGTACGGAATACACTGCAAGTGATATTTTTGCCATTTTAATACTCTCAAATTACTTGGAAAATCTATAGAGCCTTTGGAAAAATTATCACTTTTAATAATAAGTGTCGTGAGCCTTTTCATCTTCCCGAAAGCCATTCCGTTCCAATCTATTGCTGCTTCAGATGAGCCGCAATCCAGAGATATGATTTCAATATCACTATTTTCCTTTAAACAAAAATGCAAACATCGAGCATATATAAAGATAATTTTACACATAATTTGAAGTATAAGAAGAAAAAAAAAAACTAGTATGAGCACATGTAAGTCCTAAAGAGCAAAATCATGGTTAAGAATAAAAAATAATCAATTCATAGATATTAGCCTTACTAACCGCATTCTTTTCTAACACTTGAATTATATCTTCTCGGAACCACAACCTACTGCGTTTTTCAGGTTTTTTGGGTGATTCTTGTCGGACAATTTCTTTACCCATTTCCGCTATCAAGTCATGTAATGTCACATTACAAATACAACTCTGCTCGAAATGACCAATCTTAATGAGAGATTTTTCTGCCAATACTTGAATTCGATGTGTCATGGAGCCACCATACTGAGCATGGAGTATCTCTTCAACCTCTGTCAAACTACATCCTTTAAAGCAACAAGCAATATCTAGGAAGACACTTTGTTCCTCTTCCTCCAAAGCATCAAAGCTTATTTTAAGTATCTTTTGGATCTCTTTATTGGGAATCTTTTCATACCCATCTAATGTATACTTCCATTCTTCTACGCGCTTTCCAAACAAATTGGAACCCACTATTTCTAAAACTAATGGAAAGCCAGAAGCATAAGCAACAGCCCGGTTTAAAACATCCTCATAACTTGAATGAACTTTGTTATTTTTGAAAGCCATCCACCTCAACAATTCAAGACCTTCTTTCCCATTTAACTCTTTTACTACATATGTTCTTTGTATCCCATGACTTGTTAATAAGTGCTTGTCTCGAGTAGTAATGATGACTATGCTACCCGCACCAAACCAATCAAGTCCTCCAGCCAAAACCTGCAGTTGCTTCAGTTTGTCAACGTCATCGAGAACCAAAAGAATTTTCTTTCTATGTAGCCTTTCCTTTATGATTGGAATTCCCTCACTAACATCTCCTAACGTAATGTCTAATCCAACTGTTTTCAAAAGGAGCTCCTCCTGGAGATGTTTTAAGTTATTTTGACTTGAATTCTCTCTCACATTATGAATGAAACATATATCTTCAAATTGATCGGCAACAAAATTATAAATTGCTCTTGCAAGTGTTGATTTACCCAAGCCTCCGGGCCCATAAATTCCTACCATGAGGACCCCATCATCAGATCTATTATCAAAAAGCGATTTCACTTGCAGTACTTGCGAGTGTAATCCGACCGGGTACTCAGCAACGTGTAAAGAAACACGATTGATCTTGTTGGAGATGTATTTGACTATCCCCTTGATAAACTTGTATTCGTATCTATTCATGGCCAATAAGATAAGTGTGTAAATGCATTAGTATAATAGTATGAGAATCACATCCTATGTAATGATAACTAAATCGTAAGTTGTAATTGTTTTGACAAAGAAATAACTCATACTACTTCTCTAAGAATATTAAAAAAAAAAGAAATTCCCATATGGATTTAAGTGAAGAGGGTACCCAGGAGTATAATGGTAACCAGACAAATTAGCGGCTTGGTTAAGAGCTAATTTCCATTTTTTCAACCTCTCCATGTTATCCTTGTTACCTTGGAACCTGGCTTCGTGCTTAGCCAGTGCTTCACCGTAACTCCCATTCTGATGTCGCACGTGAGAAGGTTCCACACCATAGAAAACAGGCAAAATGAGACGTTTTTTTGTCTTGAAGCAGTGAATGATGTGAACAAGTTCATCCAAACAAAAGGATGAAGAGGCATAGTGGATAGAAAACACAGGAATAAAAATTCTAGAGTCTTCAATAGCCTTTACAAGTGATGGTGTGATTTCATGCCCTCCTTGAAGACTATCATCATCAAAGAAGGTGTGTATTCCGTTGTCAGTAAGAGCTTTGTAGAGATTTCCAGTAAAACTATAGCGAGTATCAATACCTCTGAAACTAAGGAACACTTGGTATGTGAAATCATAGGAAGGGGGTGGCGTAGCCATCAGAAACGAGAGTAATATGAAAGAGTAAATTCCTATAAAAAAAGAGATTGATAAGTGTGAAACTTGCTTACCAGTTCCTATATCCACGTGGCCCAATCACAGACTTAAATATAACTGAAAGCACATAGCAACTTCTCTAAACCCTAACCTTTTCCTTTGGCCACCATTTTCAGCCATCTTCTATAGAAACTCCGTCAATTCAATGACATCCAATGTGGAGAAAACTGATTGAAGTTGATCTCTACGTGTTCGCCAAAATGCGCCACCGAGAAATTTCAAAGATGTTGCAAGGTGCAGAGCGTCTACAGTAACACATATCATCATCATCGTCATTATTATTATTATCATCATCTTCATCATCAACATTATTATTATTATTATTATTTTTTATTTTTTATTATCACCCTTATTATTATTATTATTATTATTCTAAAATTATTATTATTATTATTATTATTATTATTATTATTATTATTATTATTATTATTATTATTATTATTATAAAATTATTATTATTATTATTCTAAAATTACTTTCTCTTATGATTTATGGATAGAAAAATATTTCAAAATCGAAATTCTATTTGCTTTAAGTAAGGTTGTTATTTTATGAGCAATCCAAAAATAAATAGTATGATATCAAATGGATTAATATCACGTAGTTTGATTCAAGAGTATGGAATTACAAATCAAATTTAGAATTTAAAGATAGAATGAATTCATTTAAAAGAAATAGAAATTCTAATAAGATAGAAATAAGTCAAACACAAGACTTAAATTATTACTCTCAATGAGTACTAAATAGAGAGAAATCAATGTTTTAAAAATTGAATCAAATCGGTTGGTTAAACTAGTTAAATCGGGAATCAAATATAATTTTATCGGGTGATCAGAATCTGAAGTGGATTGATAGATGACGTCTGTAAAACTGGAATTAATGAGGAGGAGGAGGAGGAGGTGTATTTACAAGGCACTCTGATGCTCAAGTAAGTAAGAGTGCAAAGGGATACAAGAAACATATTGGGATTTTCTATAGTAAATATTGAATATTTGGCCCTCACAAGTGTGAGGGTTTATATAGTGCCTCCGGCGCATGGCCATTGATTCATATTTTTGGGTCTGGATATCAGGTTCATCAAAAATAGGTAATTGTCAGGAACTACTCGTTGTAACGGACAGAGATGCTCGAAACTAACCATTACAACGAGCAGAGAAGTGTTTCACAGGAAAGCGTGATTTCTGGTCGTTCTTGGGTGACTATCCCCGTATGAATTGGCAGGATGAGGACTAGCATGTTTGAGCGGGAAGAAGTGATCGTGTGGACCCTAGGGGTCAACCGACCAGGGCTCCTTGGGTGAGGGGGAGAATGGAAAAGTGTCTTTCATCTTCTAGGGTTTATTGGGCCAAGGTTATTGGGTTGTCCTACATGTGGAAGTGGATTGGGCCCTGGTTAGTCGTTTGGGTCAGTCCAGAATAAGAGTCCCCCAAGTTGTTGCTCCTAAGCAAAGGAGTGATGACTTAGAGTTATCCCGGATGTCAAGGACGTGATAATGATGTTGATGTTTGTTGTAGGGGACGAGGACGTTTTAGATCTAATTGAGGATAAGGGTGTCAGAGGAGCCTGACCGTTGCCTCATGTGTTCGGTTCGCGGGGAGCCGAACAGCTGATTAGGTTTCGAACGGTTGCATGCTATGTTTGCATCGAGCCACGCGTTGTAGCAGAGGTGTAATGATGGCAGTTTAGGGGCTAGGGTTAATGATGATCCCCATGCTATCCTAGGATGTGCATGCGCGGGTACGTGTGCTGAGATCGCCCTATAAATAAGAGAGAGGACATTTCATTTTCAATTTTGCTTCTCTCTCTCTCTCTCTCTCGCTCTCTGTTCTTTGCTTTTCTGCCATCGTTGTCGTTGTTCGCCGCTGCAATAGAAGCTTCTGAGCATAACTCAAATCTCTTCGACCACGTAAGTTTCCTGTTTCTCTTTGTTTTAAGTTAGATTTAGCTCTATTTCGTTTAGATTACATGCTGATATGATAGATTAAGCTGTGATGAGCATTGCTCCGATGACTTATTGGTGTCTGACGGTGGTGATGCCACTTTCTGATGTTGTTGTTGGTGAGAGGGTGAGGTTTGAGCGGAGACGCGTGCACTTCTGGCCGTTCTGGGCCCATGGCTCGGGCGACGATGCGCTCGCCGTCGTGAGTTCCCCGGTGGACTCATGCGCTTTCCAATGAGTATTCTGGATTTCTCATGAATTTTCCGATGAATGCATGAGTTTTCTGATGAATCTGCAAAAAGAGTTTTGGGTTAACATGCAGGGGAGATTCCTTTGTTAGAATTTTTGGGGTTTGTCAGTCGGGGAAGCTTAAGACCGTCCGAGTAGGATTTTGGGGGTGCCCTCACTTGATGCTTGCGTAAGGGCTTTGGCCGAGGACATCGTTCTCATGTCTTCGTACGCCCTTTCACTTGACTAGCAGTGGAAGGGTGGATTTGATATGATCGTTGAATTCACTTTTGTCCTCTGCTTTTCAGGTGAAAATGACAACAGATTCTGAAGACGAAATCATAGTTGAGGAGATCAACACTTCCTGGGAAGAGCGAACAACCAGGGACCCCAGTTAGTGGATTGCTCCAGAGTCGCCGGAGATAGCCTCACTTTTCTCTTTCTTCCCCGAGAGGGATTTTACGACAGTATGAGGCGAAACGAGTCCGTCAAATGCCGAGGAAGATTGGAAGATCTTGTTTCCAAGGGAGAACAAGCGGATCTGCTTGCCATTCGAGACCGACAGCTTCCCATGTATGAATACGTTTTCAGGGAGATGGGGATTCGTTTTCCGTTTTCAAATAGTCATGTGGAGGTTCTTGCCCATCTGGATTTGGCACCCTCACGACTCAATACGAACTCGTTGGCCTTTACGCGAGCGTTCGAGATTGTTTGTGATCACCTTAAGATTGGGGCCACTGTCCCCCCTGTTTTTTGCCTGCTTCTATCTTCAACGGCAGATGACCTTGGAGGGTCTGTGTTTACCGTGGAATTTAGTAAACAATCGGTGATCTTCCAGATCTTTGTAGAAATGGTAACTTGCAGGATTGATCAAATTGATCCTAAGTACATGTGTTCTTATTTAATGTTTTTGTTCTTATAACAAAGAGTATTCTCAACAACATCTTCATTATTTTAGATAAATGTTATTTCAATTATTATTCCGTAGACAGTAACATAATATTTTAAAGATAAGACTGAAATGTAAAAGGCTTTCGACTGGAATTTAAATGGAATGTATAAAACTTCAAATGAAATTGAATGATTATAAATGTAAAAATGGTGTATCATACGTACATTCTCGCAAACTCTTTTCTCTTAACGATGGTACTTTGAGTGATTTGAGTATTTGTACAAAAGATGTGAACAAACTGAATCTTAACACTAAGACCCCCTATTTATACTAATTTCGACCAAACGGTCTCTAAATAATATGACGCCACGTTCGGCAATTGCATGTATCTTCGAACTCCAAGATTTCACGCGTCTCTTTGGATAAGATTTAATTTGAAACTCCTTATCTTTGAATCGCTAAAACGTGATGGTCGAAGCATGCTCATTGTTACTTCGAATAAACTTGATATCTCTATGGTCCGCATACGGACCTTTCGCCAACACTTAGCAAAATTAAAGCTTCAGTTTTAGCTCTTCACTTATCAAAGTCTTTTCATGGACTCTTTTATTCTTTCGTTCAAATCACATCATCAAAAATGTATTAATTTAACTAAAACTCATGTAGTCGAAATTTCCAGTTAAAAAATTGCCCCCAAAAAATGTGTGTTTCAAATTTCTTGGAGAAACATACATTTCTTTGTAAGAGAATATTTCGATGAAAAGACAATCCTCATGATGGATAATAATTGTTCTAATGTCAGAATTAACTTACTTTTTCAAAATGTCTAATCAAGACGTACGCATAGCAGTTCCTTCATTGCTATAGAAGTAGGTTCCCAATGTGGCTTTTCAATAAACAACATATCATATCAACTTGTTATGAGCCACCACGTGTCCCACTAACTCCAGTTTTAAAAAATAATAATTGAACAGTTTCAGCTATAAATATTCTTCTTCTTTCCCAAATACACTTTTCCATCTTCTTAATCTTTTGATTTCAAAATTTTCACTCTCCTTCTCTCAACAAACCTTCAAACGATCAAAAATTTGAACTTGTTAACCATGGCACCATCTAAGAAAGGAAGTAAATCTGACAAAAATGTGAAGAATAAAGAAGTAAAAATATGAATGATGTTGCATTCAAGCTGATTCATCACATCTCCAAACCTATCATCATTGGAAATCAAGATCTGGTTCCAACGCCACCTGTTACTGCTGAGCAACAAGCAATTTATACTTCTCGGGTAATAATCCCATTTACTCTCACTGACAAAACCCTAGGATATATGGGTCCCATGTTATCTGTTGACTTCTTAGAACAAATTAAGAAAATCTTTCTAGTTTACTATGATACAAAACCCATTGCTAACAAAGTTAAATCCTTTAAGAAAAAAGAGAATAACCCTGATAAGCAATTAGCAGAATCCTTTGTAGAAAAAATCCAAAAATAAATTCCCTCAACTAATGTAGCTGAAAACAAACCCTTTCAGTTCGAATATGTGACTGAAAACTTTAGACCCTTTAGATCTTACCCTGTAGAAGATAAACAATATCTTACTTGGCTAGCTAAAGTCGAAAAGGCCAAATCCCAAGCCTGGAAAGATTTAGGCATCTTCGACTTAATTTAAATGTCGAAGATAGGCTTTAGATATTGCCAACCCATGCTTATGTCTTCATTATATTTCTGGGATAGCACGTACAATACTTTCCATCTCCTTTGTGGTATGATAACACCTACTCTCTTCGATGTGGCTGCTATTACTGGATTTTCCCCCACTGGAGAAACCTTTGATCCTTACCAATAAGATACTAACACCATCAATTTCAATGTTGACAATGCTTCTTTTACCAAGTATATGAATCTTTATCACGTTGAAGGAGATGAAGTATCTGATGTTGAACACACAACTTTTCTCGCTCTCTAACTATCCATATGCATTTTCTGCTGTAAGTCTTTACAACTAGCCAGAAGATTCCTCACTTTAGCGAACCAGCTCCATTCTGTGCGAA